ATCTAATTAATAATCAAATAACGATAGAAAACGGAGGACGAATTATTCCGCAAAAAACTCATCACATTCGAGCAGTTCTCGGAAAATCCTCAATTACTGAACGATAAGAATTTGATCTTAAAATGTAACAATCGGTTCGTGTAGAAACATTTCTTTTAATTCAATATTTTTCATTTGAGATATGCATTTATTTTTATTATTACTTTAAATAAAGATATTACACCTGGCCCAACGCTGCGCCTTTAATCACTTCCTTAATTGTGTTCAATAAACCGCTTCCTGAAACAACGGAAACGAAATCATCTGGCGATCGTTTGGAAGACTTGAGTTCACCAGATCGACGGAAATACAGTTTACGAAATTGGAGTCATTGGTGGACTCGATCTGCTAGTTCGCAACATACAGGTTCGAAAGAAATAATTAAAGAGGATCCTAAAAATGAAGACAAGAAAGTTAGTCTTGATTTTATTTAAAGCATTTGAAAAAATTGGTTTTAGATTAATATTAATCTATAAGCGTATGTTGCCCGTGGTAATTAAAGGAAGCTACTTCTCAAGATGCAAAAAAACCGACAAAATTTTATGCAAAAACCCTCCGTCTAACTTCTGATCAACTGGTATGTATGGTTGTCTTTGAAAAAATCATGTTATTTGTTATTTCTAACGAATTTAAAATTCATCAGAAAAGTCTCAACCTAAAAAAAGGTGTCAACACCATGTCCTTTTCGGTTCCCTCATCATATCAAGGCAAGGCTACTTGCGCGGCAAAACTATTCTTTTGGGATTATGATGTTCAAATTGTTATATCTGACATTGATGGAACCATCACAAAGTATGCAAATGACGTGATTTATGTGGTTCGAGGAACAAGGAAATCATTCTGAAATCGAAACAAACAAAACATTTTAGGTCCGATGCACTTGGTCATGTCTTTACAATGATAGGAAGGGATTGGACTCATTCGGGGGTTGCAAAATTATATTCGGACATTCGAAGAAATGGCTATCAAATATTATATTTAACGAGTCGAGCTATTGGTCAGGTATGGATGATTAATTAATCACCGTAATCTTGTGAACGTGTTAATTAACATCAGCAATTTGAATGCAGGCAGACTATACAAGGGATTACTTGGAAAAAGTCAAACAAGACAAGTATCAATTGCCTGACGGTCCTGTGATAATGTCACCCGATCGTTTATTAACGGCTTTTCATAGAGAAGTGATAATGCGTAAACCGGAGGTTTTCAAGATGTCATGTTTACGAGACGTGCAAAAGTTGTTTGGGGATAGGAATCCATTTTTCGCAGGATTTGGAAATCGGATAACGGTAATTTTTTTCTTTTCCTTTGTATAATACCAACTTAAGATCGTCATTCTAAAATAAAAATAATCTTAGGATGCCTTATCTTATCGGAGTGTGAATGTATCGCCGTCGAGAATCTTCACTATTGATTCTAATGGTGAAGTAAAACTCGAGTTACTATCGGGATATAAGTCTTCGTAGGTTGATTCGTTTATTTTTTGTTGAATTGACTTCGTATTTTTTTTTTTTTACTTCGAAAATTAATTTACTCTTTTCTATACAGATACGTTGATTTAAGTGATCTGGTTGACCAAATGTTTCCTCACATTGGCAGTAACAAGTGGGATACAGTGTACAACGACTGGAATTACTGGAAATCTGACATTCTGGAGGTCGAACTTCCTCCGGAAATATATGATACAATGGCATTGACACCATCGTCACCAAAAATATCCCCCGATTCTCCAAGATTAGGAATGATTCGAACGTTAACCGGAGGTATTTCCGGCGGTAGTAACGGGCAAAAGTCGTCACGAAAATCAACTCAAAATCCCTCGTCAGGAAAGCTAGAAGGTTTCATCCCTTCATCTTCGCAAAAATCATCTGATAATTTAGCAAACATTGGTGTGAATGGTGATTACGAGAATGGCATGAATACTCTGCAGGAGAAGCGTCTATCATATGTTGGAGATGTTGACATGCCAGGTCGAATGAACATAATTCCCGAAAATGAAGAAATCGAAATTCCTTACGGATATGATGAATTTGAGGACGGTGATGACGAAGAAACACAGTATTCGACGGATAATCAAGACAACGAATATGAATACTCGACCGATGATCAGGATGACGAATATGGAGACGAAGATATACCCGCGGAAATTGATTTGTCGGACATACCCTATTAGAATCAGCGGGGTTGAATCGAAGGACTAATATCTTCAGACTGTACATTATAAAAACTAAAGATTTTAATTTTTGTATTCTAATCATATTACAGAATCAAGTAATTCTTCTTCCCAACTTCCTCTTATAATAGATCGGCTGTCATGTCGACCTTTATTCAATTGTATATTATTCACGTTCAGAACAAAAATAAAAATTTTATGACCAAATATAAGTCGCAAGCAACGGAGAATCAGCAATGTTGAAGTTTCCTCGAATGGAACGGTCTTCTGTGATCAACATTTTATTTCCAGAAATTAGGTAAA